ATTCATTTAATGAGTTTTAAATGAGTTTTACAGTAGGACACACTCTTAAAGAATTTTTCCAACAAATTAAATACTTTCCTTTCAAAAGTACAGTGTACGATCTAAGGCAAGATATTTATTTACTGGTTACTAATTAAAATAACTAAATATTTATATGTACATACATTCCGTAATTCATATTCTAAATTTTATTCAACGAGCATCGTTTATCTTTTATTCGTCGTTCGGAATTTTTATCTAGATAAGAATTTCGCCCATCTCCGCTACAAACACAGTTCGGAAAATCGTCCCCCCCTTCAAGGATTACTCAACGTTGCAGCAGCGTAAACGTGTCCTAGCGTCGAATATGCGAACACACACATAAACGCGCGCACACGGGCGGGTGTACGATGCACCGGAAGCAATACTCCCTAACACTTGGCTGGTCATTAGTGCACGCACTTGGCCGCGTGTGCGTGAGCCTCGTGTGCCTACACGCCACGAACGCGTGGGAGTGTGCGTGTGATTACCACGAAAAGCGGCCCCAGGTTGACAGGAAATGGTTCGAGATAAGATAATGACGTCCCTCGCCTCTTCTGCATCCGGCAGCTTTCTTCGCCGTACAACGGACTCTGAACATTATATGTAAAAGGTTCCTCTTGTGTATTGTTTGAGGGCAGGTATTTACAAACGCGTCCTTAACACGTTCGACGTCAAGGACATTTTCCATTATCTCCCACGCTTCTTCGAAGGCGATTTTCATTGTACAGAAAGAAAATTAATTACGTAACCGAATTTTGATATGCTACACTATCGACAGCTGAGACTAACTGATAGGCATACTTGGTTGGGGGCAAAATTAAGCGAACTCTATTTTTTTATACTTAACAAAAATTAAAAATATCTTTAGACCAAAATTTGTATAATTGAAAGGAAAGTTTAGATTTTGTTTCGAATGCAAATATATACACAGTTGTTTACTATTGTGCTAGTCTAGTACTGTGATTAAACGTTATAAATATATAAATAAAAATAACAATTACGGTCACCATTGACCGACGCGGCGATGACCGTGTTAAAAACAGTATCTTAGATACTTCCGTGGAAACCGATCGGGGGTCCCTTGCACCAATGTAACACCAACCCGTGGTATATATTTGTAGAAGGTGTTATTGAATTATAGTTAACGTAGTACATACATGCATACAACGTTTCATTGATACCTTCGTTCCACTGAATCGTCAGGATCTGCCTGACCCCTCTCCGCGTTAGACAAGAATAGCGTCCGGAATAATACCGTCGGAGATTTTTGAAAATATACAAACCAGGACGCCGACAGTCGTATAAATTAAACAGATCTCTATTTTAACAGCGAAGCCAGCCTCCTCCGTCTGCTGATATTCGTCAGCGTCTGAGTAATCGTATCCTGCCCGCGGTCGATAGTAGAAAAGGAAGAAATACACAAACATCGAGCACGCGTTCGACGTCGGGCCTAAAAGCAACGGCGGTAGCTTATCGCAATTGATCTCGAAGGTTCAACGTGTTTCCAGACGATGTAACGTGAGCAACGTAAACACCGATACTTGGATTATATTGGCACTATCGCGCGACAAGATTGTACATGTGTCTTCGTAGGTTGCGGCTTCCCCCGTCGTATTTCGCGTTTCACGCCTTGTACACGGAGAAATCTAAATATTGGTGGATGCTTCTTTCAATGACTCTCGAAACTGGTGCGCCCACATTCCTCCGGGCACGCAAAGCCTCTACACGGTCACTAGGCACGGCTGTAAAACTGCCTGCAGGATTTTATCCTGTCCCCCTTCTCACCTCTCTAACGTTCCCGTATCAACTAAGTAGAGAGTGAACACTTTGGTTGCTCGTAGCCACCTCCTCCATTGTGGATCGTGCCAAACTAAAATAAAAAAAAATAAAATTAGGCTAGTCGACCGTTTAGAAGGATGTAAAAAGTAACGCAATATTATTTTGGTTTACAGTCGGATGGTGGATGGTCAATTTTAACCCACGCTTAGAAACTTATTAGACGTTAAAAAACGGCCTTTAAACTACACATATTTATAAAGTGTAAATGTCATTCGAATCACGTGTCGTTTCTATTCAGTAGTGTTTTATAAATAGGGTATAATTATTCCCCAATAAATAGCCAAACAACACTTCAGAACTAAGTCAGTTATACAACCGGAACACTATTTTGGAATAAAACATTTTTGTTGCTAGCTGCCAGCATTTTGAGATACGAGCATTAGAAGCTTTTCATTGTCTTGAAAACAGACGCAGATAAATTCAGAAATTTCACCCTTTGCTTGCAATCTGAAATGGTCTGGTTCTATTTGCGGGACAATAACGGCGAATGAACAGTTCTAAATTCAAAATAAATTGTAATTACCTATTATTGTTTCTCGTTCGTGCTTCCAATTGAAACGCCCCTAATTAGAAGCAACCCGATGCTTACGTGAATCAACCTCGTGCCTGTTAAGGCGTGAATTCGTAAACCTAGAAGCGAGAGTAAATTATTTTTCGCTTCGGAACACTCAATGACGTAAGTACATACTCCCTCCAAATTACTTGAAAGACGTTGAAACGACGAGATCAGCGTTATTATTAATGATTCCAATGGAGGCGTAAGATCCACCTTTACAAACTTTTGAGATTTGATAAAAGGCAACGACATCTCTTCGTAAATTTGATCCTTGTGTCAATAACCAAAATACTCATCCAGTGACGTGAATTGATATAAAAATTGTACATTAAATTTTAGAACACAAAATTGACCTTTATAGCCCCTCTACGCATCCGCCTATAAATAAATAATTTATAACATATTACGCACCTCCTTAAACCTTACAACTTTTGCAAATAACATTTTCATATAAGATACCTGAGACACAGTGTATAATATGTATGTTTAACAATATTAATATTTATAAAATGTTGAACGAGATTACTGACGAGAACAAGCATATAAATATTTTTTACTTGCTCGATAATTTCTCCATAAATTTTTATTTTAAAAATACAAACTGACGTACAACTATCTAAAGAAGGAAGGTCTAATCTATTTTACGATATTACAAGAAGAATATTGTAACATTTTTTCAATGAAATGTGAGAAAGGGTACCCTGGGCATCCGGTTGTTGACATAAGGTTAATACTCACGAGCAAAGTAAGGAAGGCACGCAATGCGATTGAACGTTGTACATGTATGCCTTTAATTAACATCGTTTGTTAGAAAATACCTTTTCCATCGAGATCCAAGAATACGTTTACGCACGAAGGTGTGTATATTGTATGTATATACAGGACGTATAAGTTACGTGCTAATACAGGATGGTGGGCACATGGTGGTAGGTGGGAAAGTGGTGCCAAAGTAAAATAATCAATGAAGAGGCGAACGGTACCACGAGGGAGAAAGCGAAAGAGCTTTGTACGTTCGCGCCCACGCGGACCTACGAGCTCGTTATCCCATGCTGTTTTTATTCTTCCTGCCATATACATTCCCGAGACCTTGCCAGGAATTGTGCCGAATCGTCAGCGATAGGAAGAGCACGATAGTTCTCGCGCACCGGTGCGGGTAGCTCAGGCCCATCAATTCTGCTCGCCACAATACCAATTTCGTTCTCTATTCGCGAACAGAGAATACGGGTCACGTAAACCATACTTTGTTAGACATTCAAATGAATTCTTTTCTGGCCGATCGACTCGAAACTCGCGCGGCTATATTTTCGGTATTGCTTTCCTTTTTCGACTTTAATTCCAGTTACTTCGAACCGTTCGTTCGCCGAATTAGTATAAATTGACGATGGGCAATCGTCGTAAATGCCAACTTCCGCCGATGAGAGTAATTAACTCGTCGTGTAGGTTATGTGTGGCTGGGCGCATCGGTTTCCTGGAAAAAGTACAGACTGGCAGAAAGAGGTTTTTTTCTCTAATATCGTCGGTTTCAATCAACTTTTTTTTTAATATTATTCATTTAATCACGATCAGAATATTATTAATCTTCGTACACGATTATTACGCAATCAGGAAAAAGTTAAATGGACCGTTGTTTTCTATTCTATGTTCCATGTATTAAAGGTCGATTCATTGATCAGTTAACGCACCACGAATTATGCAACGTCAATTTCCGGTGCTTCGATCGGTCAGAAGTTGCAAGATCATCGAATTTCATCGTCAGATCTATAATTAGAAACTGCAACGTAACCTTGTAAAATAAACGAGCCGGATCGCAACGCGTGTATCTGGCATTCAAAGATAAACGATCGCTCTGTAAATTGGATTGTTAAAGTTGCAACTTTCAAACTTATCGTATTCGTAATCTGATCTTCGGTCGAGATTGTCGATGTACCGTGACAGATAAAGAAGAAAAAAATCGATGCACGATCGGTTATCAACATTAGATAAATCGTAAAATAATCGTTCAAGACAATTACCTGGGCCCGTTTAATTAACAAATGGAGACAATCTATTTTCTTCGACCATTGCTCTTAGAATATGCACCGTGGCTTTAGCTGATAGATATATTTACCCAATGGTATATCGATTTGAACCGCCTAAATGTCTCCGGTATTAATAAATCATGAACTCGCTTTTAGATGGGATTGAAACTCGTTTTGGGAAAAGGTACATTATTGATCTTCAAAAACGTGCAAAATTATTAATGAATACATTATACTCCGTGTTACCTAGTTTAAACTAATAAAATATTAAACTTGTCAATCGAAGTTCGAAAATATATCAACCGATATTTTTGACGTTGTAGATGGAGCTTATGCTTACGAACAAGGTCTCGTAACTTCACCGACCGAGTAGCTACATTGTGAAACGCGTTTATCGATGATTTTTAACGTTGATGCGAAAACTTTTTAAACGGAACGTACACAGAAAATAACGAAGACCGATTATTGAATATAATTGTAACGATGACCTTCGATAAGGTACCATTTATTTTCGCTCAAGGTTGAAATACAAATAGCGAACGATAAAAGTGAATGTAGGTCTTCTTTTTATTTTGTAAAAACATTTTCCATTGATTTTATTATAGCATTACAAATACGGATTATGGTATTGCATTTTTTTGTTAAAGCATCCGAAAAAGGCTGCAATATAACGGCTCATTGAGTTTTGGGACTATGTTGCATAAGTCTACTTTGCAAGTCTCTAAAGCTGATCACTTTAGAAAGTCGCAACAACATAGACAATTGAGAAAAAATCAATGAGCATGACACGGTATTAAAGTATATGCTTTATAGCGAAGCAAATGAGTGGATTTCTATTAAATAATACTTATTATTGTACTTATACAATTGCAACGCCGAGGGGATACTTTGTTAGTCTTTTAATTATTTCTAAAAAACTGTGACATTGTATTAAACTCCAGTAGATTAAATACAGTTGTATTTTTTCGATTAACCACATTGCTGCACTTTATGGCTTGTTTGGTGCACTTCTGAGTCTTTTAGGAGTAGTATATCTAATGCACAAGAATACTAACACGATCAATACACTGACAATGGCTATTCCTATTCCCAACCATAATTCTCCTCGTACGTTAAACTTATCCAGAGCAATTTCGTACAGTGCCAGAGCACCATCGGGTGGTTCACAAGCAGCTTGAACAATAATGTCTTGCCTCTGAATTTGTTTTGGCTTGCAGTTGGTCAATTTGCTCATGACTTCAGACTGATGAAGCGGAGGCAGTAATAAAGATAGAGACCACTGCATTGGACTGATCTTTTGATACCAGCTTGGTAAGTTTTCCAAATGCAGTGAGACACCACCAGCCAATGTCATTTCCCCGATTACAATCCCAGAGAACAGAGAAGCCAAGTACGTCCACTTACAAGTATGAGCAAACAGTATACAAATTAAGTGTTGTAGTATTAAGTATAGCAAGCCGATGCCAAGATAGCTCCAAAGGGATGTCAGAGTCTCATCTGGCACAAGGTGGAGGCCTGACATTGCATAACTTGGAGCCAAATAGATCAGGTAAACTATGCACCAAGACAATACTCCACAAATGAGCTGAAAGTAAGAGGAAAATTGGTACTGAACAAGGACTCCTCCGGCTGCATAATGGTTTCTAAATTTACCTCCATTAAAATGTAAATAAATCGTCCGTACAAGCCGTCTTTGATATCTCTCTCCACGTTTGGTCTGCAGTCGGCCACTTCGCAAATTGCTATCATGCACAGGGGCCAAAAGAAAATACCCAGACTGGTGTAATGGAAACCTACTCTATCTCTCAGATATAAATTAGAATCCCCAGCGACGTCCCAGAATATTGCACCAAGTAAAATGCTGAGCGACGCCGAGACAACGATCTTCCGGAGAAGTCTCGTTAATGTCCAAAGTTGGCTGTAGATCAGCGTTCTTAAGAGCAACGCGTAGATCTGTACGAATATATTAGGGCTAGAAATTGTCGGTGGAAGTGCACTAGGCGGTCCAGGATCGCACAGCCCTGGTAACCTTGTTCTCGCTAATTCGGCTAAATGATCTATCCTCTGCGAAGATTCTAACATTGCTTCTGCCGATAGATCGTCCAGGGTCACTAAGTCGACTGAAAGAAAACATTCTCTTAGAAACTTCTATATGTAAAGTTCTAATGTATGAATATTATGTGTATCAATGTAAGATGATAAGATGATAGCAATCGTTTTCAACCAATATTCTAATATCATAGATTTAAAGAACTTTATACTTTACTTTCAGTAAATGTCACTGTGATACACTGCTGAGTGTACTAGAGCAGATAATAAAATTTAAAAAAATAATGACATGGTAATACATACGATAATAATCGGAAGGGTTCTTGAAAGGAGGACAAGGAAATTCTGCGAGTGCAAAATATGGCAACATATCCCTCCTGGGACCAGAGTACATGATCCTGCCCCCGGAAGTAAGCGCAACCCTAGAGACCATCGTCAGGATCTCATAGGTCGGTGGATGCAGCGTTAGAACGACGAGTCTCTGACCTCGGCTGGCCCACTGCCTCAGATACTCCACCAAAAAGAAAGCATCGAAAATATCCAGGCCATGCGTAGGCCTGTCCAACGCAAGAATGTGGGAATCTTGCAACAGACGGCAGGCCAAAGCCAATCGTCTAGCCTCCGAAGTTGTCAATGAATTCACCAAACAATGTTTAGTAGCTTCCAGGCCAAGTTCCTGCAGAAACGCATCAGCCTCCAGCTTGGAAGTGTTTGGGCCTCCACGTAGCAACATATAGAAACTGAGGGTTTGTTGGGCAGTTAAACCAGGACTTAGTCCGCTCTCCGTTGACAAATATGCAACGCGTGACCTAAATATATAAAGAAAATTCGTATATACAGTGAGTCACAAGATTATTAACAGAGGTATATATGTAAAAAAGAAAGCATCAATTGAAGCATTTCAAATCCCATCGCTATATACATACGTATAGATAACATGTGGATTATACCTCAAAGAGCGCGAGGACACAGATCTCCCGTTGAGCAAAATGTCACCTCGCTTGATGCGTTTCCTGCCGGCGATAGTTTCCACGATTTGCTTCCCCTCCTTTTCCGTGGTTGCCATGATAGCAAGAACCTCGGTGGCTCCAGCTTCAAGAGTGATTCCTCGAAGAAGGGGCAATCCATCGGACCCGGAGGCTTCCACCCCGCGTAGCTGCAAATGGGGATGCTGAAGACACGGCATGGGTCTCAGTGGCAAAGCGTAGCTTTCCGGGCCCAGAATACCGTGTCCTGCAAATTTATTTTATGTACAAATGACAAAGTTTCCAACAAACTTTGAGTGCAAAGTGCAAACTATTGCAGTTCTACAGGGGGAACTTTAAACGTTAATAACTTTTTAACGAGGCCTCGATCAACAAATTGGTATTCTTGATTTTCGTCTTATTTTGGCCTCCAATATCTCTCATTAAAATTTTTTCAGGGATGGAGAAACACCCTGTATGTTCTACGTCAACTAAGTAAAAAAAAGGATGTTTAGTCATTCAAATGTTTCAACCAGCGAGAAACATATCTGTAACGTTGAAAATACGTTCTGTTAGGATGACTGTTTATACCGCAGGTGTTAAAAAGAATCTTAATTAACGAGACCAAAGTCTATAAAAGGAAGCTAATAAAGCAAGCAATAAAATGCAATAACATTACGTTGCTATTCGCGCCTCTAATGAACGACGCATTTCAGGGTTAACGTGGAACTCAATCTTCTTATCTATTTGTTATGGACAGATCAGGAATGCGGAAAAGTACCTCTAGGTTCATGAACCCCGTATCCAGGATCAATGGGCGCTATGCTGTGCCTCCGGTTGTTTCTGATACCGCCCTGAAGGAGATTGGCCTCGCTCGCGCTTCTCAAACGCGGATTGTCTCTGGAAACCGTTAACTGGGAGTGCGCGTGTTCCCTAGGTACAGCGTGGACGTGTCTGAAGTCGGGGTCGCTTCTGGCGGAGCGCATCGCGGAGGTACCATGGGCAGAGGTACCAGCGTGAGACATACGACGGCCTTCTTCGCTGGAATCGTACCCGCTGGAGCCATCGCGGTTCCTCGCGCTGGGAGGCAGAACTCTAGGCAGGCCAAACTTCAAATAGGTGTAGGAGTTGCTGGCCAGTGGACTCTTCGGCCCATATCTAGGGTGCCTCAAGATGCTCTGCACCGTCGAGTCCCGTAGCTGAAAATTTCCATAAGGAAGGGGCGATTTCTCCGCTGATCCCAGCGCCGAATCCGTGAAGTCGGAATTCAAGTTTTGCCTGAAAGCGACTCGGTTAGAAGAGGAAGAATGCCTGATCTATATCTTTAGTAACTTATCCTAATATCTGCTTCACTAAAAATTCACTTATTTATAAACTAGTTCTAGTGAAAATTGTTCTTAACAGTCAGCAGCTGATTCACAGCGGTGTATTCATTGAAAAATCTTTGTTTCAAATTGTAGCATGACTCTGTACAGCCAAATTCAAAGTGTTACTTTAAAAGGCAGGATCCTATAAGATTGATATTTTCTTATTCGGTAAGAAATAAGGGATCACCTATAAATAGACCATGCGTGCAAGTCTTCGCTGGCTGGCGGCTCCAATCCCCTGGTGTCCAGAGCTCCCGGTACCGAGTAACGTCGTTCCAGCTCCCACGCTTCTGAACCCATGGTTTGCGGTACCTGAACAGTTCCACGAGTCTAATATATAATCATTACACCGTGTTTACAGATTAACGTCGGTCAGATTTGAATAAGATGCATTAACCCTCGGATGGTGGAACGTCTGTGCAACCAAACACCCGATTCTGAATCCATCTTACCCTGAATCTGAATTGTATTATTTCATTGCATCATTGACGTATATAAGGTGAGTAGTAATTAATAATAAAAATTAACGAGTACTTCCTCCTTGGCTAAATCATAACAAAATCATAGCAAACAATGTTTTAATTAAATGCTTTAGAAAAAGTATTTGTCTATAATATAATATAAATTAGTTAAAATATTGTTCCTACCATACATATACGCTTAATAACAATTAGTATTAGCATCAATGGCCACGTAGACGTTATTTGTTCTGGCCACTTATTGGTACATTTACCTTAGTGGCCGAGCAGCGTGAAAGGAAAATATCTGTCTGGAATACCGGTCCAAAACGGATTTGTAAGCCTCCACCGATCACGAATCGATGAGGCAGATAGCGAATTCCTCGGTGTAAGCTTCAACGCGGTCGTTTAATAGCAGTTTACACTATCGATACAGTTTTACAAAGTTGTTATTCGATAAAACAGATTACTGGATAATATCGCGCATTTACCATGACATAGTTAGACGGCCGGTTGTAATAAATTATTGTAGCTACGGAGCGAGTTATGTTGCAGTTGCGCAAGCCCGATATCCAATATCCGATCGCTAATCGCTTTACTTTTTCACAGGATTTGAGAACTTGTTAAGATCTGCAATTCAGATGCACAAACTCGAGCGAGTTTCTTTCGCGCGAATACTTTCGAAATATTCGAAAGAATGGATGTAAAAATTCATAGTAAATACAAACAGAGAATGAAGCCAATTAAAAACTGCTGTTGCACAAAGCAGACGCTTTAATAGGAGCTATAAGAACTTACACGCAGTTATTATCAGAATGAAATATTCGAGTACTTGAAATTTGAACCAAAACAAGTTAAGTATTTGATTATCCAAATAACTTGAATGTTTGATCGCGTTTGAAAAAATTCACACAGCTTGGTTGCATCGAAATTCACATCGTTTGGGTTGTTGAAGATTCTACGCGAATCTCTAATGCAAAATTTGCTTTAAGTTTCAGCGCGTCCGTGTTATTTGTTAGAGGAACGTTGGCGGACGTTGAAGCGAGGTGAAACGGAACGTTTGCGAATAGACGCGAAGCAAAACGACCGGTCGAAGGGAAACCAAAAGCGGATTTTACGAGTTTCTTCATGCGGATGCTGACTGTCCGGTAAGTGTGCACAGACTCAAGTATGCGCATTATTATGCTCATTGTAGATGGACACGAGGGACCACGACATTCCGTTTAACGGTGATACTCGCGACGGGCTCGCGAACGCACACGCAGCATCTATTCCAAACGCTGCATCAAGCCACGACGATCGTACGAGTCGTATCGCAGTCGTTCACTTCGGGAAATTAACCCTTCACGCTTCTGGCGAGGCTATCAAGCTGACTCAACGTCGTGTTTTGCAGCGTTCACTTTTATTTCGGCTGAAATGCGATGCTTGAATTCTTAGAAGATTCGTACCGGCGCACAGTCTGTCGCTTATATGAGAATTCAGAATACAAATTATAATTATTGAACCGATCAATTCTCAACACTCGACTCCTAATACATTTTTAAAGTGAATACAAAAAAAAATAAACATATAAAAATTTTTCAAATCGTTCTAAAAAAAATATTTTTAGCTGCAGGGGTCGATTGCAATCATTTTTGGTCATTACACATACCCCCGAAATCCTACACATTTTCGAGATAAAAAATTCCTCGCCGCATATCTAATCTAATGCTTCCCTGAGATTTCATGTGAATCTTTGAAACATCATAACTGCTGAACGGATTGGACGATTCTAATGTTTAAAAATGCAAACAACGCGTATTCTGGTGTAGAATATGTGGGGATTCCAAAAATATTCGAAAAGTTATTCCTTGACTCCGCAATATGAGAAAAACCCCATAACAAATGGTCCAGTTTTCAAACAACCATAACTCCTACAATAGTGAATATATTTCATTGAAATTTAGAGGAGAACTAGAGTTCATGGATACCCACAAGAAAGTATTAAACAACTTTTCTGTACAGCGCCAACCAAATTTACTAAAAATGAAAAACAAATTTCTAAGAAAAATCGACGGGTGGATGGTGCCTAATTTTATCGACGAAAAAAAAAAATTTCAAATCGTTCTGGAAAAATTATTTTCGGTTACGGGGACCAATTACAGTAATTTTTGGTGAATAGACCTACCCTTGAAATCTTACCCATTTTCGAGAAAAAAAATCGAGTAGGTACTGAAATTTTTCGACGAAATTAAAAAAATTCAAATCATACTAAATAAATTATATTTAGTTACAGGGGTCAATTACAAGCATTTTTGATGAATGGACATACCCCTGAAATCCTACCCATTTTCTAGAAAAAAAATTGAGTAGGTATAGAAATTTTTAGACGAAATTAAAAAATTTCAAATCATACTAAATAAATTATATTTATTTACAGGGGTCAATTACAAGCATTTTTGATGAATAGACATACCCCCGAAATCCTACCCACTTCCTAGAAAAAAATTCAGTACGATTGGAACTTTAAGCGTTAATAACTTTTTAACGAAGCCTCGATCAACAAATTGGTATTCTTGATTTTCGTTCTATTTTGGCCTCTAGAATCTCCCATTAAAATTGCAGGGTACTCTCAATACTACACAATACTTTCAATATAGCATTTCTACATCTGAGGACACGAAATAAATTTTGTTAGCGCAAAATACTACGAAGTACCTGATATGAGAACGCGAAGAACTTAAGAAATAAAATATTTTACTGGTATTTAAAAACGTTATTCCGAGGAAAATTGCACAGAAAGGGTTCGTGAGCTCCATTAAATTGCTAAGTGGAATTCGTGGAAAAAACGGTTTAACCGCCGTGGTACATTTGAAGCTAAAGGTGAGGGGTTAATAACGAATTACAGTTGTATAGCGAGAAAATGTTCGCGGAGGAGCGGTTCTTTTCGCGTCTGGCGGTCCATGCTAATGCCTCCACGTCGGATGGCATTTTTTTTTAATCGAGCCAAAGTTTCCCGTTACTTGTTGACTCACAGGCATACTCTTTGCGCGAAACCGAGCATACTTTAAGCAGGTTCTTGAGAAAAGTGGACCTTCTTTGTACTTCGCAAAGGGTATGTACTTGCGCGACATTTAACACCGACGATTCTCTGAAACGATCAAAGATCCATTTAAACGAGCCGTGTACTAGCCAAACAGAACGCTGAAGCACCGTAATTATTCATTAATTCATACAGTAGAACATCGATTATACGAACTAACATGGCGACAAATTCGTTCTGATAAACGAATTTCGAACAACTGAACCACGAAAACCAAAGTTACAATTATTAGTTTAATTGTAAGAAATACTCTTGCACAGAGACATGAAACATTTTAACAACCTACTATTTATTATTGCAGCTATGAGTGCCACCTCCGTCATAAGCACTGGACGTTGATTAGTCGACTACGTATTGTACGTATTTGTGAAACTGTTAGCCACCCGTCTACCATCAGCTGATATTTTTACCCGTCATGGAGTAACGGTATGCTCGGTCATCGCTTCAAAGACTAGCCAAGATTCTACGTTATTTGCACTAATCGTCGCCCCTTATAGCGATCCAGCTGCTCCGTATTAATGATTATACTCCCCAGGGCCTTTTTCTCTTTCCAGGTTCCAGGATTCCCGAATTCCTGTCTCTCACAAAGAGATAAAAAAATAAAGAAATAAATCTTCGATACGCATTCAGAAAGAAATAGGCAAGTTTTGTAGATTTATCAAACCTTATAACGTGTACCGTTATCGATACGCATAGCGTGGAAATGGCACTTACAATTAGTCAAAAGCAGCTTGGCAGGGAGCGCGTTTAAAAAGAATTTAGTGCTGTTTCGTAATGAAAATTCCGACATTAATGGCCAACTCAGTACGTATCAAAGCTGTTCGGTAGAACCGGAATCAACGGTTGGAATTCAACTGTTCCCACTTTTGTTTTCTTGGCATAGCGCTCTCTTGCCATTGAAACGAGGTCTGTCGAACAATACCAGCATCTAGCACGCGTCTGCGGGTCGTCGTTTCTATTATCAGCTGCTAAATGTAATCACCGTTTCCACCAGCGATCCTAAATGTATAATTTTTCGAGCCACGATCGTCGACTGTAATGTCCCCTTAATTTACATACGCAACGCAACGGTTTTTTTTTCAGCGCTCAATAACTATCCTATAACTATTCGAGTTAACTGTTCATTTGCATATCCCGTTCCTGCAATAGTTATATCAACTTGGGTACGAAACGATTTCAAGTTACAGAGACTCTCACCATTATCCAGACCCCCTTTTCTACCTTCCGTCCCAATTAGACATCTTCTGGTCGTGAGCATTAAAAAAAGACGTCTCGTTACGCATTCTCTGCTCGAACATTGATAAAGCTTTCCCGTACTTGCATATCAGAATGCTTATACAATATATTTATAGAACATGATCAGGCAACTTTAATTAATTAGTCAGCCAATATTTTATACCATTAGAAATGTGTATTTTATCGTCCTACAAAAGATTATTAAAATCAAAGTGTACTTGACAAGAAAACGTTTCAGAAAATCTGTTCATATCTCGATTACAATTAAAAAACTGTAGATTTCAACAGTATTAATCTATTCTGTCTGAAACTCAAATAATTTCTTTTTACATACAAAAATCACCTAGAGCAGTTCATCAAATGTTCTTTGAGCGAGAGATTATGTATCTATACATTTTTTTATTACTTGTATGTCCCCTGTACACCACTGTATTACGAAACAATCTATATATTTATGAAAACGATTATACCAGAAAACTAACTAATACTAAAAAGAAAATATAGATAGATTCGAAGATAAGAATTATTCCATACATAAATCAGCCTCACCGACTAACACGTAATTGATATTTTAAAGACGTTAATGGTATGTGATTGGCCATGAGATACATAAGCAATACTATAGAAATCTTGGTGTTCTGGGAAAATGAGAGATAATATGAATGAAAGAAAACGAATTCCTGATTCCAACGAGACCCACCAACGCACAGTGTGGTATTTACACCCCTCTCTCAATATACAAAGCAGAAAAAAGTTATTTTATAAAAATATATAATCGAAAATGAGAAAAACATACAAAAGATCAAAACCATCTTTGAAGAAAACCACATTATTTCTTCCAATCGAAATATCTGAGCAATAAGCATAAAATAATTAAAATTACACTTAATTAAAACAACTTTCTTGCTATTATGTTCCACCAAGGACCTAAATATACGTAATAATACTATAAAATGAAACAATGAGAGATAAATATATAAGAAATGTTTCGATTCGAGTGTTAAATGTTCGATGATGCGCGAGTTACGTGGTCGTAAGATCGTAAGAGGCCTCGTTACATTATAAAAAGCGTTAACGTGTCTTGTGCTCGATGGAGCATACAGGAAGACCGGTAAAAGTGATATTTAATTAATATCTTTCGTTAACAGTCCGCTCACGGTACGATAACTTTCATCACGAGCCATTAGACGATCGACAACACGCCTGCGTGGTTATGCAAATTCACTTTTCGTCTCGTTAAAGTTTAGACGGCCGTGCTCGAAAAGTGATAGTTCTGTGCTACGAGGTCAGTCCGCGAATTCACGTGTGTTTTCCCATTAAAGTTGCTTAACAAATTAGCGCGGTAACCGTGGCTCGGGGAACAGAATTTCATTCTTCTAACATCAACGGGGAAATACAGATCCAGTCGTTTATCGACCCCTTGGGTACAGGGATCCATAGATCGCATGAACCAGTGGTTCTTAAACTATTTTTTTTTATCGAAGCTCATGAACTTAGATATTAGTTATATAAATATTGAAAATCATTTTCAATTTAAATTCTAGCACGCAACGAAAATAGATAATTTATAATTTTGACCAAAGATGTTGAAAAACGCCTTTCAAAATTATAACTTGAAATTATTTTTTAAACTTAATTGTTTTTTCTCAATATTATGATATTATGATACAGGTATCTGTCCAGAATCTTGGAATTCGTGGGCCAGAAGTTAAGAACCACTGATTTAGAGGACAACGATATGTACTCCGGTTTCGAAATCTCTTCCGGCGGCTGTGAGACTGTCCCACGCACCGATTTCTACGCTCGGCTCTCAATCGTACACACGTGACAATGTATCTTAATAAAGCTACTGGCCTGGATACCACGTGCATTCACGATCCGCGTACAACAGACATCTAGAAAAGATGGAAAGTCCATCAAAAAGCTTGTACGAGGTACCTGAGATCAACGCGTAGAGTAAACTCGGTCAACTCCGACATAATTTTACATTTCGTTCAAATATGGGACTGCTATAGCGACAAACGATGGATGGTTAGGTCAGACATTTATGCAAACAAATAATAAGCAATATTGCGAACCTCTCGACGAATAAAAATATTGTGTTCTCCGGAAGTTGATAAAAGTTCAGGGGATATTACTCTGCTATTTAGTACCTTATACATTGATATAAAAATATGATATTAATACAAAGTGCCGTATATCCGAATATTAAAATAACGTTAACATTAGACATCATTTCATCAATAATGTATTCGATAAGTCCAAATATTGAGATTACTCACTGTATTTTAAATTCAATTAACGCACGACGAATTAAGATTTCGCAAATTAGTCCTGATCACGGTAGCATTGATATCTCTTCCTGGATCGCTTCCTCGTCCGCGCTTGTTCCGCCACTGAAACGTGCGTGATATCGCAAAGTGCGATACACGAAGGCGTACACCGAGGTCAGTGATGCCAGTTTTTTTAAATATTCCACGAAGGTACGCGTGCCTGCGACGAGAAAAGGGTTGATTATCATTGCAAATCGTTCGTAGTGGCGTCCGTGGCACGTGTAAAGTCGCGTAGGCGCATCCCTTGCGCGCTCGTCGAAGTCTCCCGTTTGCAAACGTCGTCCACGTCGCGTCTCGAATTTTATTCCCACGCTCGTTCCACGTCCGATCGAATTCAGACGTATCCGTAACCCCGTTCGATCTACTCGATCTTCGGTGCCATTACGCTTTTATCATCCAGTCCGCGGCGGTGAAAGTATCGACAGCGAAATTAAAAGCACCGCGTACGAGAATGCCACGGGATATTACACACGCCTCGTTCCATTCCTCGCGGAAGGACTTGGAAATCGTAGTTACGCAAAGGAAAATAATCCATCTCGAGAAGTTCGCCGGACGAAGGCCGTCGAAAATAAATACACCCGTTCCTAATCACCTGTTGCTTTCACCGTGCCGGTAAACATTTCTCATTATGCAAAATCAGGTTCTACTAATCGTTGAACCGTGACTGCCGCGGAAATTAAAACCGTGCGCGCCGCCGGTATTAACCGTTTCGCACTTTTCTGCATTTTCTTCGCGCGAACAGGAACGCGCTGGCTACCAGAGAGGAAAACGCGCGCAAAAATTCAATCGCGTATGCGTGAACGTATTTCTCCTCCGTGGCTCGCTGTTTTTGCGTACGCCGTTTCGGCCGAGTTCCTTCCTTTCGTGAAATCGAAAGAAACGGCACGACGCGTCTTGCTATCGCGTTAATCGTCTCCGCGATGAAACAATGGAAATGGAGGGCCGCGCGGCCGCTCGCGTGAAAAACAAATTCTCACGTGTAAGGTACACCCGTAGGCAAAGTTTGAAGAAAGTGCGGTCCGCTCGTGGATCGCGAATCGAATCTTCGTGACAATGACTCACCGCCGGTATTCAGGATGAGCTTTCAACTGAGCCTGGTCGAGTCAAGGTGATGCTGCTTCTCCATTCCGGCGAATCTCCTCTTCCCCCGTCTTCTCCTCTTCCTCCCCCGGCGGATCCTCTCGCGGGCTCTGTCAGTCGATACCGAAGCCGTAAATGACACGGTTTGTCACCTCAGGAATCGTTACCCGCGAACGCATCACTCGATTCGCGATCGCGATACCGCAATAGCATCGGTATGTCCGACGCTTGCCTCGCCAGGGAGCCTTTTCTAAACGCTGACTTCTGACAGACGTGCCTTCCGAGTCTCCGCCGGACCCCCTTCTCGGCTCTCCCCCTTCCTTCCCATTTGGTCTTTCAAGTTCGCAGTGACGCACCCGCCGAGAACTCGGGCCCCACGCCCCACCTTCGTCCACTGTCAGCTCCGACGTACTCTACCTCCGGTCCCGGAGATAATCCACCAACGGTGTTTCACTCTCGTTTCCTTCTTCCAATCGAAATCCAAGTTCATTTCTCAGGAACGGACTCGAAACTCCGTCATTGCTCTAATCAGTTCCGCCATGATGGACGCTCCGTACGAAGCAATTCTTCCTCTCGAAACGTCTATTTTCGTCCGTGAAGCAATATTGCTCGAACGTAACGGCGAAGATCGACGACGAAATTTTCGGAGACTTACGTGGGGATTCTAGTTCGGTAGTTACACCCGTGTGCTAGTACCGATGGTACGTGTACTTCGACCTCCCACCAATCTCTTCCGAGAGGAGACATTCACCTCGTGAAGCCAACTCCCAGCCAGGTATCGTTACCGATGGCTACGTTTCACATGCAATGTTCGGTCGGCCACTTTTACAACCGTCGTGCTCCCTCGTAGATCGTTTCGTTCGCTTTGCCAGCAACTTCTGCTCTCGCATTTTCGACAGCTGACGCATCGTTACGGGGAACAGCCACAGTGCACCACCGGCATCCCACCGACGAGCCGTTCTTTCTTTGTGCTGTTTTCTGCACAGTACGCTCGAAATTGTCCGAGGGAACCTTGGCTCTTGGTCTTCGATTTTCCTTAGGTACGATTAAGGTTCCTAACCGATCTCGATCGATCGTTAAGTTCCTCTCTCTTGATCTGTTTTTAAGGATCGTGAAGTGGCATGTAACGCGAATGGTCCAGTAGTCGAGAACAGATTCAAGATGATACCGTCGGACTGTACGTTGGATATATCGAACGTGTATCATTCCACCGCCGTGGTGATCGAAGGAAGTTGCTTGAACAAATCGGAACCGACCGCGGTATTGAGGGACGTATCCGCTCGAGTTCATGGCGGAGAAGTATTGGCAATTTTAGGCTCGAAGGGATCCGGGAAAAGGGCTCTGCTCGATGTTATTGGTAAGATCGCGATCTATACGGATCGTCCACCTCTGTGCATGTATTTTTATCCTACGAACGTAAATTAATGTAGAATTGTCCAAAGAATAGGGATCCAAAGCGATTTTATGATATTCTAACATACAAAATTTTTAAGCAAAAATTCGCATATTCCTGTTCAACAGTGTAATATAGTCGCTCCACCATTCGTTGTATCTTTCAGCCGGAAGGGCGGAAGGAGAGACAAGGGGTAGAGTGACGCTGAACAATAATATATTGACGCCAGAGTTGTTCAGGCGTCATGGTGGATACGTGGCCCACAGATGCCACTTGCTACCAAGTTTGACTGTTCGTCAAACTCTGACGTACGCCACCTGGCTTGCCAATCTGAGCAACAGGGGGGCCAGGGTTCGCCAAACGTTGGCCGATCTGGCGTTATCTCAAGTCGCGAATAGATCTGTAAACGATCTGACAAAGCCAGAGTACAGGAGGCTGATGCTGGGAGTTCAGCTTGCTAAGGACCCCACGTTGCTTCTTTTGGACGAGCCAACCTGGGACACTGATCCCTTGAACACGTATTTAATTGTCTCTATGCTTTGGTCCTACGCGACTAGGAGAGGGTCTATTGTCGTTTTAACGATGGAGACTCCGAGATCGGACGTGCTGCCGTTCGTGAGTCGCGTGACTCTTTTGTGTTTAGGGGCAGTGGTGTATTCGGGGCCGACCAGAAGCATGCTGGATTACTTCACTTACATCGGATTCCCGTGTCCGGAACTTGAGAATCCATTAATGTACTATTGTAAGTACCTCCTAACGAGATAGGGTAACCTAAAAAAATTAAATGCCGTGTTATTTACTTTATTCCATACAAAGAGCAAAACTGTCAAAAGATTAAGTTACAAGTAAACGATCGCTTTAGTGTGTCTATCGACGGTCGATCGCCGATCCAGAGACCGTTTCCTAGAGTCTAATCAGCAAATATCCGTCCTGGTTGACAAGTTCAAAGCTGAGGGTGTTATTTACATGAAAGAGGCTCCCCAAGTGCCGCCAAATGTCAAAGACACGCCACTCGGTATCATGCACAAAGGTCTGGGTCGTGGCATCAAACCGGGTTGCTTCTCTACTCTTCTCGCCCTTTATTTGTGAGTGTATATTCCAACGAATGTGTACACGTAGTGGTGGGACTCATCGCTATGTACCGTGTGTCCACGAGAAGAAGGCACGGCGTGTTTACATCCCCACTCCTGATGCAGTCCGCTGACTCACAGGCATTGGTCGAAACGGTGACAGCCAATCAGCGGATGGCAGCAAGAGTGGGGATGTAAACACGCTGTGCCTTCTTCTCGTGGGCACATGGTACATGTAATTCTTGTTCAACGAGCATTACAGTATGCACATTTTAGGAGAGGCATGGCGGCGACGTTCGCCTTTAGTAAGTCTGGCTTGGGACACTTCGCCACTCGACTCCTGTTACTGCCATTTTCCGTCGCCCTAATGAGCATTTTGTACTCCCACTCGACACCCGTGCAGTCCAGAATATTTCTACAAACCGGAGGTTTAGTTTTTAACGTATTGACGTTGTTCTATGTCGCTGGGATAGCATCGACGGCGCTCCTTTGTAAGTCCTCGCAAATTGACGCTCTCTTCGTTCGCACGACGCATTAACGACACCCAGCAGGATGTAACGCTTGCTAATTACTCAGTTCCAGGTTATCGTGCTAGATATTATCAAGAGAAAAGGGAGGGTCTTTACGGTGGTGCAATGTTCCTAACCGCGTACGCGTTGTTAAGTTTACCATTAAGTTTTGTCTCGACCATGATTACCATCGGTATTTTAACGCCCATCCTGGAGCTAGACTTGTCATCCTGGGCTTACGCTTCTGGAGTTCTTTGGGCCAGTTACGTCGCAGCTGAACAAGTTACCGTGGCCGTGCTGATGATTGTCGGTAGACCAGTAACAGGTGCGATAACGGTGCTGTACGTGACATTAGTATCTCTTGTTATTGCATCTGGAGCCGTCAGGAGCTTGAAAGGTTTACCGTATTGGCTCGCTGCTGTTTCCACCGCATTGCCAACGAGATACGCGTCGTTGGCTTTGAATCAACTGGCCATCGACATGCCTATGTTCTTAAACCTGCATTACAACGAAAGTTTCACATGTCCTGGAATACCGGAACTCTGTCGGTACCCAGATGGAAGGACCTACTTGATTGAACGTTTCACGCGCGAAGGTGAAAATATTTCCGAAGTGTTGAACGTCGATTTAAATTTATTGATCTCGTTGGCATTTGCTGTCGGTTTGTGTATATTTAATAGCGTACTTTACTTGCTACCACTTCCTGCACGAGTGAAGGCCAAATTTAGAGAATAAACGATATAATTGTTGATCGAACAACATTGATAAAAATATAAACGATGCCCATTCTATCAAAACTTTGTTGTTTCTTCCTCTTTCAGCGTATGTATTACAAAATTATATTACTTCTTTAATTAAGATCTAGCCGCCGCATTGTATTTATAGTACACTTATAATAAGCAAATGCAATTGCAAGATATTCTTAAATATACGTACGTATGTATAATTTTACAATCGAGAACCGTGATACCCAAACGAAGCAAGTGATTAAAAATGTTAATCCTGTCTCGTTTAAATTTAATTTTTAGCAGAACTTCGGTTGGTTCTATTCACAATCATTTACATCCACCTGTCTCATTTCTTTTAGATCGTCGGCTACTGTAAATGTGCAGCCGGTAGAACTAACGACATCACTAATATCGACGTTGGGTGCAATTTCTATAAGCTTTAATCCTTGTCCCACGACTACTTCAAACACTGCCATGTCTGTAATTATTAAGTCTACGCATTGTTGACCTGAAACAACATATCAAAAATGTGTAATTGTCCCTGTTTAGGCGATAGTATTATTATAAGCGAGCAAATCATCCTGTATTACCTGTAATGGGCAATGTACAACTTTTCAAGATCTTTGGGCTTCCATCGCGAGCTTTGTGTTCCATGGTGACCACTACTTTCGTACTTGCCGCAGAAATTAGATCCATTGCACCTCCCATTCCTTTTACCATAGTTCCCGGAATCATCCAGTTAGCCAAATCTCCAGTTTCCGATACTTGCATGCCCCCAAGCATAGTCATATTCACGTGACCTCTGAAAGAATCAAACTGAACAGTAATTTTTAATTACAAAAATTATTTAAGGTTTATTTTAATATGTACCCTCGAATCATGGCGAAGCTCTCATCGCTAGAGAAGAATGATGCTCCCGGTAATACCGTGACTGTCTCCTTTCCAGCGTTAATCAAGTCTGGATCGATCTCACATTCGGTTGGATAGGGGCCAAGACCGAGAATACCATTCTCAGATTGCAACGTTACTTTCACGTCTTTAGGAATATACTTGCACACAAGGGTAGGTATACCGACTCCCAAATTGGCTGCAAAGTATTCGTTCATTGAAACCCGAAATGCGTTATTTTAATATATTTTTTATTTTCTCAATGTCTTACCATACATTCCATCTTCAAATTCAAGAGCAGCGCGCTTCACGATCCTGTCCCTTGCCTTGCTCGCTGGTGTCACTTTTTTAGGCTTCATTGATTCTTTTGTTATTACTTTCTAATTTGTTAAGAAATAAAAAATCTTATAACAAATCGTTTTCGTTAAAATAGTTATGCAAATTGCAAATATGTACAAACCTCTATTCGTTTTTCGTACGACGGACCTTTAACAATTCTGTCAACAAAAATACCAGGCAAATGTATATTGTCTGGATCCAACTGACCAATTTCTACAATTTCTTCAACTTCGGCAATAGCTACTTTAGCCGCTTTGCACATTACCGGATTAAAATTTCTAGCCGATTTTTTGAAAATTAAGTTTCCAGCTTTGTCCGCTTTCCATGCTTTTACAAGCGCGAAATCTCCTTTGATCGCAGTTTCCATAATATAATTTCTACCATCAAACTGTGCTACGGATCTTGGATCTCCAGATATTTCTGCATTTTTATTTTTGTCGTATTTCACAACTACATTACCATCTTGAATTAAAGTTCCATATGCGGTAGGTGTATAAAAGGCTGGTATACCAGCTCCACCTGCACGAATACGTTCTGCCAATGTACCCTAGACATTTAAAATACTTTTATAATATACACCGTAACTTTAAATCTGAAATCCTAAATGCTGTTAATAATCACCTGTGGTGTTAATTCAACTTCTAATTGACCGCTAAGATATTGACTTTCAAATTCAGGATTTTCACCCACGTAAGAAGCAATCATTCTCTTAATTCTGTGTTCCTTCAAAAGTAAACCCAATCCAAAGTCTTCAACACCTGCATTATTTGAGACAACAGTTAAATCTTTTGAACCTCTTTTCAGTATGGCTGCTATTAAGTTTTCTGGAATTCCACAAAGTCCAAATCCACCAACCAAGAGTCTAGCACCGTTTGGTATATCTGATACTACTTCGTCTACATTTTTGAATATTTTTCCTTCTCCTACCGGTGGACATAGTTTCTCAACTTCTTCTTCTACTTCAGGAATATCAGTTTTGATTGAAAAATTAACTGCACATACCTACTGAAAAATAGTTCTATTGTGTTTATATTCCACATATAAAGTACAATATAATGATACAACAAATGCTCAAAAAAAGAAATTATAAAATATTCCTCTTAGAATTATTTTTAAGATTGAATCTTCTACTAAAATTACACAACGAAAAGTGTTTGTTTAAATATATTTTTTCGATAATTATTCATAAGCAAATGATGACACCGTAATACAAATGTACAAACTGCTACAAAAATACATTATTCTAAAATGTAATAAAAAAATTGATCATGAAATCATAAGTAAAGCTATTGAACGACGAACTCCTGTCTTTTTTTATATTTGACATTATACTGATAAATGTAAAGTTACATGCTTAGGTTAGGTATCTGTTATTTAGAACTTTTCAATACCATAAATGTTACGTACCCTTGAAAGTTTGAGGTGTTTATAACTATTGCTTGAACCCGTGTTCAGACGGAAAAGCATACAGCTAGCCCTATTTATGGCAAAGGCCATGACTTTTCCTTAAATTCACTCAACAAGCTGTACAAAATATTCATATAGGTTAACCTACTCCACGATCTCGAGAGCAATGACTATATCTACACGTTTACAAATGTAGATAACAGGTTCTCAGCTTTAATTTTTCAAAAGTTAGCTGCATTTTATTGGCTATAATATATGGCATGATAAAACATTTTTAATTAAAGCAATCACAACAATCTCAAGTTTCGTAATTAAGAATCAAATACTATTGCCACAAAAAACAGAAACACGTTAATCTTGTATTCGCTTCTTTGAGCTCTGAAACGTTTGATGATGTACCTGAATAATATTGCGTAGATTATAAATAAAATAAATGGTTAATTTAACAGTCCAGTGCTTGTCCAAAATATTTAATTTTACGATGTTCTGGAATAGCGTTCTTATTCTAGTCAACAGAATTAAGCATTGCTATACAATGCAATCTCGATTAACCGGTTTTATAGAGACTAAGAGACTATGACTTATCAGATAATTGAGGCGTGAGGAAAAAAATTTAAAATACAATTTATATAAGGTGTTCATCCTAATAGTCGCACCGATGTTTGAGACACTTACACTAATTTGCTAAAAAGATGTTTGCAATTAAAAGGAATGAATATTTCGAGAGGAACAAAGTGTTTGCTCATCTTAACTCCAAGTATCGTCCTTCTACAAGAAGAAGGCACAGCGAGTTTACATCCCCACTCTTGCTGCAGTCCGCTGATTGGCTGTCACCGATCTTCGTCACCGTTTTCGACCAATACCTGTGAATCAGTGGACTGCAACAGGAGTTGGGATGTAAACACACTGTGCCTTCTTCTTGTGGAAGAACGATACCATTGCAAGTAAGAATGTTTTGTCTTGGATTTTTTCTTTCTGGTTTGAATCTATGTTATTTCAGCAACTCATCCAGGGACTAGACCCGTATTATACACACACAGGTCAACTGAAATTAAAATGTGTGATTCGTTGCTATCACAATTTGTGACAACACCATTGATTAACATACGTATGTACAATTCCTACACTAGATAACCGGATTCCAGTTAATCGAAGTTCCACTGTACTTTGAAAAATTATCACAATACAGTTTCGTTTAGAATATTTTATTTGCTATCTCTTATAGTTCTATATATTTATAAATTTATCTCATAAATTATACAAGTTCTAAACACTAATAGGTGAATAATTTACATTGCAACAATTTCGTGGAGTATTCCATAACGATTTAGATCTTCGGCAGACCTATCATCTCAGTCACTGAGCATGAATAAAATTTTGGTAACGTCGTCTAACAAGTCGTTTAACATACAAATCATGGCTTTAAGTGCTCTATTTTGTCTTTGTTTAATCAGTTATTTGTATTATCGATGTCGCCCGGCCCTAGCGTCTGTAACAGCACCCCATAATTCAATGACAAAGTCGTCGGTAAATCCGAAAGCCTCCAAATCTGAATTGTCTATTGCCTCTGCGAATTCGATGCTGTTGCCTTTACCTTCGGCAAGCTCCCAAATTTGCGTTGCTGTTTCGGAACAAAACTCAATTAATATGAAATTAACACAATCGTTTAACCAGACAAGATACCATTAGAAAACGAAACATTAAACAATCAATATTTAAACTTCAAAGTGTTGCCATCTTTTTAATGATTGACCTCGTCGTTTAATTTCTGGGTAGTGTATCAATATTTCGTCTTCCAATAGCACTGTACATTTCTACAAAAAGTCTACATGCCTAATTCCGTATCGTAGATACCCATGAAGCTCTCTAAAATTACGTTAATCTTTTCAATGCCTATCGTGGCAGCATCATCCACCTATCGACGAGAAATGGAAAGAAGAGATAAAGACAGTTATTATTAAAATTGTTCATTTCTTATAGCTGACTCTTCATTAAAGAAACGGTTACCATCTCTATAATTTGCGCGCTTCCGTCTGCTTTAAACCTTAGCGTCTCTTTTCCGGAACCGTAACCAGATTTCTTTCCTTTCTTGAGGTCTCCGCGCGGACCAATGTTCCCAAAGCCATTTTTCAACGGTTCGATCAGCCTTAACGTGAACGTGGAACCTTTCGGGATCTCCTTCAACATTTTCGCTACCTCGAAGTGCCGTTTACCGACCAAACTATCCGAGTTGATTTTCTCTATATGATCCCCGACCTCGATCACCTTTATCCTGTCGATCACGGATCCTTCCTTTATACGCTTTATGAAGGCATATCCTGCGCCGTTATCGGTTATCGTTAATCCTAGAGCGTCGCCGGACTTCACCAACTCAATCTCTTTCGGTCGACCTGATACAATATATTATCGATACAGTATCGAGAGGTTTCTGAAGAGCTTCTAAAGAGTTTTTCGACGAGGGCGATAGCTTTTATTCTAATGTACATTCAATGACATTAAGGAACTTGAAAACGAAAAAAAAGACACACTACGACGTTGCAAAAATTAGTTTGTAATATGAGGAATCAAATATTTGAAGTCACTAAATCTAATTGGAAGTTTCGTTATTGAAAAATCCTGAGGTCCTTATAGGTCCAAATATTGTCACGTACCTTTCTTATGCGCAAATATAAAATCACCAACCCCAATCTGACTACCTAGCAATTCCGTCATCTCTATTTTGTGTGTGTTTAGCGTGCAGAAAAGTATCTGAAAGAGAGAACCGATCATTAAAATATCGCTGAGAACGTTTCATGTTAAAGTGTTTTACATGTATGTTATGCTAAATTAAAGAATTTCTAATCATTCTGGAAAAATTATTTTCAGTTGCGGGGGTCAATTACAATCATTTTTGGTCATTAGACATACCCTCGAAATCCAATCCATTTTTGAGAAAAAAATTTTAGTTGTGAAATTTTTCGACAAAATTAAAAAATTTCAAATCGTTCTGGAAAAATTATTTTTGGTTGCGGAGGTCAATTACAATCATTTTTGGTCATTAGACATACCCTCGAATTCATACCCACTTTCGAGAAAAAAATTCGAGGAGTGAAATTTCTTGACAAAATTAAAAAATTTCAAATCGTTCTGGAAAAATTATTTTCAGTTGCGGGGGTCAATTACAATCATTTTTGGTTATTAGACATACCCTCGAAATTCAATCCACTTTCGAGAAAAAAATTCGAGATGTGAAATTTTTCGACAAAATTAAAAAATTTCAAATCGTTCTGGAAAAATTATTTTCAGTTGCGGGGGTCAATTACAATAATTTTTGGTGAACAGACCTACCCCCGAAATCCTACCCGCTTTCTAGAAAAAAATTCTGTACGGGGGAAACTTTAAAGATTAATAACTTTTTAACGAAGACTCCATCAACAAATTAATATTCTTGATTTTCGTCTTATTTTGGCCTCTAAAATCTCCTATTAAAATTTTTCCCAGGAGTAGTCGAACATCCTGTATATTAAATGATATTTCTTTTTTAAAATGAAATCACATATTTTTTAATAATCATTATTTTGTACACAATGATTAAATGAACTATAGAATACTATATTTTGGCAAACTTTATGCATTACAACGACCATTACAACTAAAAATGTAATGTAACTTATACTTTTCTTTTTAAAATCCTAAATTCTGTGTTATGTTGTGTTCTTACATAGAATACAGCTGCAATTTTCAACTGGCTTTACAATTTCGACATAAGAATTATTATTTGGATATCGTTTTCACGAATAAAATGCAGTCGAGTATTAATTACATGTTTTCCATTTTAAAAAGCCATTTAATTAAAAAGTTCGAGAAAGGCAGATCTAATTTATCTAAGAGTATACAAGAAAATACAGCTAGAATCTATTTAAGGAAACAGAAAGTCTCTGATCTTTCATATTACTGCAGTCGTATTAGCGATCCGTCGACTTTCACCGCGGCTTTTAACCGGTGTTACGGAATAGCGGTTCAATTCTGCCTTTGATTTAATACGTTCACTGCGGTGACGTTTTTTTTCGCGGTCTTTTTCATATTTGATGCATGGTGCGGTTACACTTTGCTCTAAACTTTCGTATCTGGCGGTACGGAGAAAATAGAAGGATAGACTATTCAGTTACGCTTCGTAAATCTCAATGAAAATAGCAGAAAAATTACGAAGATAACATATGAACATGTAACGAAGTTTGAACGAAGTACGACTTTTACGGAAGAAAATACAATACAAATGCAAATATACCATCTATAACGCAACTTAATAAATTAGTGCATCCTTCATATTTTTTTTCATGCATATTGTAGAACAACATTTTTGCTTTTGTATAACTTTGTACCTTCGAATCAAAGTTACAATACACAGAACCTATTCTACCATAGAGAAGACTATAAATAACTATGTATAACGGTGCATTGTGCAAAGCCGCTGAGCGAGGAAGGAAATAATTCTAATCGAAACGGATGAGCGATACATAATCGGACAAATTAAAAAACGCAAAACTATATAGAGTGTTCAAAAAATAAGGTTCAAGGCTTTAAGAAATTTCAGCACTCGCTAAGGAAAATAAACAACGTATAATCAACATGAGTTCTGAAAACAATACTCATTGTACAGTCGCATAAGAATGTCTATTTCATACGAAGTGAAAGGATAGCCTTGACTAGATGACCGTTACCAAAATGAACTAAGATCTTGTATGCAAGTTACTGATATTTTACAAATGCTTTTGGCTTTCTTTGGCCCCGTCGCTGTACACAGAAATGAATTTTGAATAGCAAGATCTGCATTTTCACCAGCTTTATGAACATTCTGATTACTGTGTGACGGTCAACTTAGTAAATGTGCTGGCAACGGCATTTACAACCTGTTATTACACGGCAAGTTACACGCAACTCTGCGTCGCGCCGGAGAGAACGTAACCACCAGATCGACGAGAGGCCGCAGCCCGTAACCGATGTTTCCTGTATCCGGAATATTACTCTCTCCCTATAGAGAGCCAAGCATGCTGAAACGAACGCGCTACGAATCCCCATTTGTACAGAAATTACCGCCAAGAATGATTAACAGGCTGATCACTGTCATGGCGGTCACCGGTGACCGGCGGTTCAAACCTACAACGCGTGTTTAAAACGCTTGCAATAAATCTTGCAAATTCTTGAACAATTTCATTAACCCCTTAGCTTACAATGACGTCTCAGAAATGTAATAATCTTGATGTCGTTTTTGGCACGTACAGTTGGAAATTAAATCGTAAGGCAAGGGGTTAACATTAGGTATATTACTAAAAAACAAGTACTCCATTGTACTGTTGAATATTTATATCTGTTATAATTTGAAAAGATGCCGAGGATACCCCTAGATTGGAAAAACTGGTGTGACAGTCAACGTGTTAAGTGACTTTGACCATGTACCGTACTGGAAGATCATTTAAAGTTTGCGATACCGTACATCATTCGCTATCTGTCTCGACATTGGTGAGAACACGGCAACGATAAAAAAAGAACAGATTGCGAGTCGTGTGATCTTGTTTAAAAGAAAAAACATGAATTATATGATTATATCGTATTGTAAGTGATGTCAAAGTAAATACGATGAAACAGATATACGACAACATGATCTTTAGCACGATCACTGCTGCAATGGTCACTGGTGACCGTCGAACTTGCAACGTGTTTTTGTAGCGCTAATTTCTGTACTTTTTGTGGGTTTGTGCAGGATGTTCCACTGAACTCTGGCCACTTAAATATTTCCTCCAATTGCGATGATATGACAAATATTTTATATACAATTCAAATGGTATCAAAAAGACCGATATGTTGTCAAGGATATTTCTTTTTAAAAGTCTCTTTTTCAGTGTTTTTGTAAGTGCACATTTTTGCTTCTGATATTAAAATACGTTCAGATATGTACATGATGTGATCATTGACTCCTGAAATTGAAATTGGATCGTTTACTTTTCTTTTAAGTTATCATAGTAATAAATAATAGATCATCAAAATTGTGTTTCATTAAAATGAACAATAACAGACTGCCTTGCACTTTCAAATGTTTCAAGATTAATTCTTCAATACCAACACCAGCGACCACGATTAAATAGTTGCACAATATATATCAAAGACAAAAGAATTGCAATTTTTTAAATAAAGGAATATCGAACATTTCGTCATCAAATATTTTTTTATCTGCAACAAAAATTTATATGGAATTATACAAAATTAATTAAAAAAAACACAACGCCGTGTTGCATAGAAACTGTTATACATAAATAAACGAAATATTAAGAAATAAATGTATTTTTATTACAGATAATTCATATAAAATTGGAAAATCAAGATTAAGTCAACAGAACCAGATATGGCTGGAATGTGCCTCATTTAATTTCAGTGTTCGCAATCAGCAAGATTATGAGTTTAGCTGGAAAAGATAATACTTAAGCACACTTCAAATTATTACTAGATATCTTAAGTCCAGAAGGGAGACGATTACTAGAATCCCATTTTATTCTTTAACAAAACAATGTCTCTAACTACACAGCAAAAGAAGTTATAAATTATTTTTAACAAACTTAAATTTTCAGCATCTACTCGAATTTTTTTCTCGAAAGTGCGTAGGATTTCGGGGATATGTCTATTCACCAAAAATGATTGTAATTGACTTCTGCAACCAAACATAATTTTTTGAGAACGATTTGGAATTTTTTAATTTAAATTTTAATAACTTTTTAACAAAGCGTCAATCAAGAAATTAATATTCTTGATTTTCGTCCTATTTTGGCCTCGAGAATCTCTCATTAAAATTTCTTCCAAGGATGGCTTAAAACCCTGTATTCATAAATGGATTTTTGTTTGTTTACAGAAATAAATAAAACTTACTTCTTCTACGGGTAATTCGTAGCATTCCGCTATTTTCTGATAAAGTTCCCGTACATTGCTGAAACCCGATATCAGGCCTGTGGGACTGCCATGCGCCAGTTGACAATGAAACACCAAGGGCGGCCTAGACACTCTGGATGATCGTCGTTGCTCTTGCGTTTGATTGTGAGAAACGGCATTGTTCTTCTGGGCACGCGTGTTGTTGTCGGCGTCAGTGGCTTCCTGGTCGTTTTCGTTACCATTTTGGTGGCAATGGTTGTTCCCATAATGCGTGCCACCATTCGAAACCTTTTCCAACGTGGGTGACCTTTGCACGACACGCGCCTTGAACAGCGGCATGTTTAACTCTGCGGAACACGCGTTTAGTTTCCTTTTTCGATTAACGTTCCAGCGCTATTTAAATAAAAATTAGGGATGGGTCTTGTGGAGTTTTTACTCAGAATTGATGACGTTTATTTTTACCTGCCAAAAACAAAACTCTTATCGAACCCCCGAAACAAGAGATTAATAACTGTTTACGAGAACCACCACTTCTGTATTCCACAATTATCTTTAGATTTTGGTAGGATGATATAAGATAAACATAAGATAAACAGAGACATCATAGTTGATAAAAGAAGTCAATTGAACCCGGAAAAGATTCAAACGCTAGTGTTTTTAAATACAAATGTTTATTAGATATTTTTCTAAGTAAATATTAATATTTGATCCTTTATTATTTTATAAAAACGTACGCTTCTATTATTTTCTAATTTTCTACCTTTATTATACTTGTGCTTGGACAAAAGTTATTCAGAGCGAATGCTGCAATTTAAGTATTTACACAAATATGATTTTAACCATACTCCCGACAAAATAGATATTTTTTAGAAATATTAAAAAAAGAGTTATTTAGATTTAGAGTTTCGAAAGTTTTCAAGTTTTTAGTGTTTCGAGACCTCGCGAAGTTTCGGATCCGGATTTCGCAAAACTAAAAATTAGACTTTGACCCACATCTATAAGAAATGTTAGTTTCGAAATTATTAATGAGGAGAACGCCGAGCAAAAATTGTACTCCGGCCACAGAACATCAACGTTAGCGGAGAACAAACACACCGCTGACGTTGGCGAGAGAATGGATCAGAAAAACTTTCAAGAGAGAAATTATATTCTACTGGGTGTTTCCTTCATCGTAAGTATCCACAATGTCTCTGTTTCTTTCGATCATTGTTCGTTTCGAAGAGATAAATATTATAATACGATAACGATTCTTTCCAGAGCGATAATACTGTCACTTTCTCATGATCTTGAACGTGAAAAATTGAAAAATATTTTCCTCAAATTTAAAACTGATAGCATAATTTGAAGCTTCAATATCAGTTAATTAATAAATAACAATGTATATTACTATCGTCACTTCGAATCTGAAATTGGGAAATAATCGATTATTAATTATATTTAAAAATATAAGTTAAAGATAATCGTTTTGAATATATTTTGAAATGAAGTAGTACATATTACCACCAAAAACATATTAATTTTATCCTTTTCTCTCGTATGAACGTGTTTCCTGTTATCCAAGTTCACTTAAAGATCAACGCATCGAAAAAAGTATTCATTCGCCTCTAGATGCTCTATTAAAGCCAATACACCAATTTTTCTAAGAGAATTCTCCTTTCTTTTAACGTCATTAGATACTTTAATAATACACGACACTTGTTCACTATGGAAAGAATAATATGATCTACGTTAAGAAACAAAAACACGCATACATATAAATTTTTTAACGAAAGCTCCATCAACAAATTGGTATTCTTGATTTTCGTCTTATTTTGGCCTCTAGAATCTCCCATTACAATTTTTCTCAGGGGTGATCGAACACTCTATATACACCGGGATTCCCCTCATTCTATTGTTTTATAACCGACAACGATAATGGCGATGACCTTCAATACTCGGAAAAATGACAAAATATTGCATTTCTTCTTAAAACAACAACAGACGATTTATAGGAATACATAATTTAAAAACATTAATGTCACAATGGATTTCTATGGTAGCGCCTCGTAAAAGCACGAGAACCACTGCAAGTTGATATTGGATTAATGGATCGTTGGCTTCGCGTTACAGTTCTCACAGTTATTAATTTCGACACGTTCAACCGCTCGATTGGTCGTTCGATGATATTTAGCTGTCGGTTATCGTCGTGCGCGAAAAGTTTCGAAAGCACGCCGCCGACAGTGTCCCCGATTAAAAGAATAAAAGAAATAATGGAAAATTACGGGTCTCTCACCTTTTCTCCCGACGAAGTAATAGTAAAACGATGCACAGAGAGACACCGAGGCAAAACGGTAGGTCTAGTGACGCGAAGAAACGGTATACTCGATGTTCCAGCGATACCTCATATCTGGCCTACTGCTTGCAGTTATGTTTCACTCGTTGACAATCTTTTCTTATCGTTTTTATCGCCGTCTGTACGGTTCTTATCGTACTGGTAGATCGCTACCCACGCGAGCGTACTTCATCGTAGATCGTCGATCCCACCTTCTCTCGCTTATGGATGCATACGAACGAGCGAACGTTCTCTCTATGTTTTCCTCGCTCGTTGCAAGTCAGGAACCGTTCGGCTGTGAATCGAACGACTTTAAAGCCGCCCGCTAATTCGTTTAACGCGAAAGACGCTCGCGAAGGTATTTCCGACACGATAAATTCTCTTCGAATGCACAATTTCACAAACACATAGCACGCGCCACGATCGTGATCGTAACCCGCAGGAGCGTATCTCCGCACTGCTGTACATTTTCCTTACCTTACCGTGAACCCCTCGAATATAATGCCCCCTCTCTTTCTATCTATGAAATACCGAACTATTCGAGCGTATATTTCTATCTGTAAACAAATTTACGACACGAATCGTTAACTCGATGCTTTATTGGTAAAAGGCTACTGTAATGGCGTGAGAAAGTTTTCCGAATAGTTGCTTTTTTAACTTTGATGAATTTGCGCTTATTTCGTGTTTAAGGAAACTTTTGCACGCCAGTATAATACATGTTTATTTTATAGTAAGCTTACGAAAGTGTTCGAACACTTGCAATTGCAAACGTTGTAAACAAGCTATAAAGATTAAAGTTTTATAGTAACTTTATGATATTAAGAATTATATTAACCAGATTTGAAAACAATTTATAATCGTGTAACATAATTTTGTACCTTTTTCAATATTCATACTCGATTGTGATCCCGAAATTTTTCTGTCGAAGGACACAGTGATGCCATCTAGTAGCGGAAATGTCGCGATATTTCTTCATAATACAAAATTCATTTGTCAATAATTATATGTGATTTTTACGACGTAATGCAAGAGAATCGATTCGTTTCACACTTTTAGATCATGGATCGATATGGATGATGATATTGGAACGTAGTAATTGTTTTCAACAAAAGCACAGCCATTACAAAAAACAGTACTCTCGATGTAAACGGTATACCCATACAATCTTTTTTCCAAACACACACTTTACAATCCAAAGACAATATTGATTAATAAAAAATATATCACATCGCATTCAATGTTTACAAACACTAAAGCAAGTTAAAATAATAAGTTATGTACATTAAGGTGGACCTTATTTTTTAATCATGCAAATTCCCGCGATACGACCCCCTAGGTTTGTTTCGTTTAATAAAAAATAATTTTTGTGAATATATTTTGGTGAATTCACGGTAATTTCAGGGGCAGCTTTATTCTAATATTTTCTCTAGATAAGTTAAAACTTATTTTAGTAAATGTTGTTTTTATTTTTTACCAAGAATAATTAAAATCCACCCGAACGATAAATACATTAGCCGAACGTAGTGAATTACACGCGTCTTAAAAAATAACCAATTTGTTTTTCTGAAAAACAGAGCCTTATAAGACAAAATTTTATTTCACATATTCAACTTATTTTTACATAAAAAATCATTCCATTTTTGGTTGTATTACCAATTACGCCCCGCCTTACATAAAATTCTTAACACACGAAGTACAGATATAATTATATCAAACATTTTTTTGACAATTTTGATCGTTATACTTTGTATAAGGATAGCAACTTTTTTTTAAAAAAGTAATCTAAATTGAATATAATAATACTTATTAAATATAAGAAAACTTTTGTATAAAGATTTTCCTAAATCTATCCGACGAGTATTGTCAAACGATCTTAGATAAAAATGTAATAACATCTTTTTTTACGTTATGTCTTGTAAAACAGTAACAATCACAGCGCACTTGTTAACAAATAAAATGAGAATGCACTACAGAATATGTCAGTCTGTGTACAGGATTCACATTAACGTGTAGAACTGTTTATACTATACAGTTTATTTTAATATTACCAATTATTATATTGTATATATAGAAATTGAAATGTATTCCAGTAAGATATCAAAGGAAGTTCTACACTGAAATAGCTATGTTCTACGCGTTATTGCTTTGTCATATGTGTACAATATCTGTATAGTTTTACAATACTGGAAAAGACATTTAAATATTATTGCTGGCCTAAATGCAGTTCAGGCTGAACAATGAATACTTTCCATACTTTGCCACAGTTAGATCTGTGTTCAGAAGCTAAATAATTTCTCATTGGCACTAATAAATAATCATAGGGATCTGTATTTAGTTGATACTCTTGCATAGCTTTGTAAACAGCTTTAAACGGTGGTTGTTTCTGGGAATGAAACGTGCCCCTAGATCCGTGTAAAACCAAAGCTCCTTCTTTCTCTGCCTTAGTACAAACAGGCATATACATACAATGATCGGGTCTATAATTATATCTGCAAGAGTACACGTAAAGTTTTTCAGGATGATAATGAAATATGATGTTTATTATGTCTTGATCTCCCCATGTTATCTTCAATTTATATTCCTTATGTATAGGTATCACATAGTCTATCCACCTAAAGTCTCTCATTCTTGTCAAATTCATCAACATCACACCAGAATTCACACCTAATTTTCCATAATATGGATGCTTTGCAAATCTATTATACCATGCTGTGTTAGGATCTTCGTGCTCTGGGCTTAAAGCTGCCAACTGACTTGAATTCATTTTCTTAAATTCGTCCCAAATTTTTTCTGGTGGAGCTAAGAACAGAGTGTCCGTATCCACATAAAGAACAGCATCGGTGTCATTTAAAACCGACTATAACACATAAAATACACATAACAAGAAAAGTTATTTTTCAATAATCAAGGTAAATTATAATGTTCAAGTAATTCTTTAACAATAGTCTATTTATAATAAAATATACTTACAGGTAGAAACAATCTTTGAGCAGCGCAAGGCTTAAACAATTTTTTCCACATTACTGCATCACTGCCTTCTGGGAAGATAATAGATTTGACTATGAAGTCAAAAGTTTTGTTGGACAATAGTTTCCATTCTGCCAACTTCTCATTAAATGCAGGAATCAAATTATTCTCTGCTAAAACAATGAATTGCAGAGGTCTATTAGTGAAAACTAAAGCAGACTTGAGCATTGTCAGTGCTTCGTTTAATCTGTCTCCGCAGACCACAACGCATATTGTCACTTCTTCTATTATCAGAGGAGGTACGAATTTTTTGACAGTTGTTGAAGCAATAGCAACCTCTTTAGATTGAGCATCGTATATCTTGTTCGAGAAATTAATTAAGTTAAGTAATATTATTAATGCAACGAAGATAAGGCACAAGAAAAACAATTTATACACAGATTTCATTGTTGTACTTTTCCAGTTTCACATCTTCCACCGACGTTCCGCTGATGCACGATCGGTGGAAAATACTGTGGAAGAACTTGGCATTTTGATGTCCTTCCTTCTTGTTTATAATTCAGAAATATAACCTCACTACTATAACTAAACGATAACAAATAGAGGACACTATCGTGTTGTTAGATACACATAGAGATCATTCGAAATAAGTCGAAAGGAATGTCAAATATCCTTAGAGGAGAAACATTCTTGTTAAGCACAGCTCAAAAGAGGATTTAAATTGTGCAAATGTCTACGTTCTTCCACTTTCGAAAATATCGATTGATGTGTTCCACCTTGACAACAGAACCTGTTTTTGACTCCCACGTAAATTTTCACAGATTAAGTAGCTACAGAGTGATTCTCCCTCCAATATAACAGAAAGGAATTCCGCCGCCTAAACACCGCGGCGATAATCCCATGTATGTTTACAGTTGAGACCAGTGTGGCGGAGACCAATGTGGCCAGATTTGGCATAATTCAGTGTATCGACAGCGATACTAGTAACGTCGAACTTCTTTAGCGTCTAACGGAATGGTGGGGAAAGTCAACATATCCTACCGCAAGAGCCATGTTACGTGAGTTTGTCACTTCGCGTAACTTCGGGAATTCAAGAAAGAAGGCGAATGTGGGTCTTTCTTTCTTGCTTTCGAAACAGCTGAGATCCGATTTGTGTCAACCCGCATACGATTTTGAGACTCAACTGCCCAGGCATTTTCATTTTCCAACCCATGTATACCTACTACACATAAACGAGGTAAAGAATAGACCTATCGTTAGTGGGATGAACGCTATTACTGTACCACGAGTGTCTTATAACATGAGATAAACTCTTCCAAAATGGAACAAAATGTTAAAAAGATCATGCATCAAATTGTAAGGTGATACTCGTAAGAAGGCTTTAATCTTTGTAATGGTTTTAATAGGTCGATGATCAACAATGACTAGCTTATGGTCACTGGTGGTCAACAGTGAGGTAGACATCAAGGTCAGCGGCCCAGTGAAGATCCAGAAATGGTCAAGAGGTGGGACCAATCGAAATAGTTTCTTTGTAGACAAGACAGTCTTATCTGTTAACTTTAACATTGGCTCTGACTGGTCTCCCCACCCTTTCATCACCTTGGGCATATAAGCAGGGCCACTGCGAAGAGCTCTTCAGTCGCGTCGCGAATTCGGGAGTGTACAAATCGCCTGAAGTGGACCGGGGACCACTGCTGACCTCTGCTGGCTAGCGCTGACCATGGCTGACCAGGGCTGACCAGGGCTGACCACTACTGACCAATACTGACCACTACTGACCAGTCCTGGCTCGCGCTCCTGCCACTACTGACCACTACTGACCACTGCTGACCACTACTGACCAGTGCCGGACGGTGATGACAACGGTAAGAACTGTTCAAAAATTCTCTCCCCTCTTCTATTCTATCGTTTGATACCAATTTCGCTTCAATGAACTGATTTTGCCTTGCTTGTCTAACTGCTGTTGCTATAATATGAATATTTTCTTACTTTACAGATGGCCCAGTGGTAACTATTCTACGTACTGACAACAAGTAGTGAGTCCACTCCACTTATTTATATTTTATTATTTTTATTTGTTTGTTTGATGTGAATTCAACTTTATTTATGTATCTGATTTTATTTGGTTATTATGAATGTTCCTTTTCTCTGTTTCTACTTTTACATTGTTTTTCGCGTTTATGTGATTGCTTTGATATGCATAGTATTGCAGGATATAATAATCTAGTATTGTTTTCAATCATATACTATAATTGTTTCTATACAATTTCATGGATTTTTGTTTTTACGTCGTTGTTCGAATTCTCGTAATATTCTGCGGAGGTACTTTGTTTGATTCTTCCATTTCGTTTGATTCTTTGGTGTTGATTCAATTTGGTGTCTCGGTCCAAGTTTCTTTCGTGTTACGAGTGGTCGTTTTGAGTTGTATAACATCGTGTCGATGCGTATACCATATTTGTTTCGATGATACTGATCAGTAGAAGAATGTTCGTTTTGATGTGTATAACATGGTGTCGATGGATATACCATATTTGTTTCGATGACACTGATTAATATAAGATTTTGCTAATATACTCTGTTCAATTCCCTTTAGTTAGGTGATAGATCATTTTTAAGTGTTTATTAAATTTCTTACCATGTCTCACTAATATAAATATTAGTTTTGATTTCAGTTTAAATTTGGATTAATCGCAAGGACATCGAGGGAGAACGCCGCAACCGTCGAGGGACTTTTAATTCCAAGTTGGTTAGTCTTAAGCTTCGTCGCGAATCTTAAAATTAACGTCGACGATTTCTTTATTATACGTGTCTCCGCGTCCTACCAAGCAATTATTCAACAAGTAGCTTCTCCCTCGCTCGTTCCCTCGTTCCTAGCTTCGGTCACCGCTGTTTCATCGATTGAAACATGTGATCGGCCGTGTATCTGGTCCGAAAGATCTAATCGCCTTCCCTTGGTAGTTCGATCCAGGGAAAATGGTACTCTGCTGGAAGGTGTGGAGTTTCCGTATCCTGCGGAAACGCATACCTTCCAGCGGAAGTCGACACTGAAACAGAGGTACTCTCTCTTTGTCAGACAACTTGAGTCGGGTCCTTCGGGCTCCCGGCGGGTTGCGTTGGAGCAATGGAGACCTTAGATTCGGAGTCGCAGCCGTCCGTTATCCTGTAGAGATCTAGTTAGCAAGGGCAGTAGGTTCGATCCTCGGATCCGCTGCACGGTTCAGCGTCGCGTCGCGTCGCGTTTCGTGTCCCTCAAATTAGCTTCATCCCTCTTTTTAACCAAATAATTGCTTGGTACAACTAAATCAGAACATCCAAGGAACTTTGTTTCCTTCTATCGTCCGAATTTTAGTTTCAACTTGACCAGACTTGAGCTTCGACGTTAATTTTAAGTCCCTATTGTATGCGTCTCCCAATATTGCCAAGTAATTATTTAACAAGTAGCTTCTCTCGACTCGTTCTCTGGTTCCTAGCTTCGATCACCGCTGTTTCATCGATCGAAACATGTGATCGGCCGTCCAGTTTGTCCGAAAGATCTAGTCGCCTACCCATGATAGATCGATTGCTAGAAATAGGAATCAATCTACCAAGGGCAGTGTTGATTCGATCCAAAGATCTGCCGTACGGTTCAGCTTCGCGTCGCGTCGCGTATCCCACAATATAGCTTCACCCCTTTTTAAACGAAATAATTACTTGGTGCAACTAAACTAGAAGATCGAAGGAACATTGCTTCCTTCTATCTCTCTAGTTTAGTAATCCAGCTAAGCTTAGCTAAAAGGGAGATCGATGGAACTTTGATTCCATCTATCTCCCTTCGGGTCTCCACTCGCAGCAACCTCCACGTGGTGAGACCTGGTAATCGGTGTTACCCACGATAGAAAAGTTATTCTTCGTGGGTAACACCGAGCTAATGGCTGCGAATTTAGAATTGTTTCTTGATATAATAAACGAATTTAGATTTATAGTTAGGCAGGTGTTTGATTAACCATTATGTTAGGCAGGTTATTTTTATTTGAAGACAAATTCTTTTGAAAACTATTTCAACTCTCTTCGTTGGTTGTGTATCTTTCATTGCTAGCACTTTCGTTCGTTTCTTCTTCGACCAACGATCGTTGGCCACAGAAGATCTTTATTAATGGAGGGTGGTTGGGGATCGGTTAGGGTGGGTCTCCATTCGCAGCAACCTCCACGTGGTGTGACCTGGGTAATATTATTTAGCGTTTAATTAATAATCGTATCACTCTTAGCTGGGAAATGCAATTACTAATTAAAAACTAAATAATATTAGCAAATTGGCTGCGATCCGCTTTGCATAGGTCATTATAAATATAGAGCTTCTTTGCTAGGTTAGTTTTGATTCTTATTGATTCATCAAAGATTCTAGAATATTCTCAGAGACATTTTTCAGCCCATTTTTATGGGGTTTCGAAACCCCATTACCATTTTCGTGTCATCTGCAACGTTACCAACAGATTCATTTCATAGTCATCTCACCACAGACGAGATATATTCATATGTTTAAATTACATTAGGTGAAAGGTCTATTCATATACCTCGTCTGTGATCTCACATTTATTTACGCAAACATTACACCTGTTTACCTATCAAACTAATTCAGTGAATAGTTTCTCAACTGACCGCCATCCATGAGAAGAGGCCGCTAAAATCACCTCCGAATTTTCAGGTCGGTATGGCAGTCAGCTTGGGCCACGAAAGTCTGTAAGGTGTAAAGTCCTAATGATTAATTAATTTCTTTTTTACATAAATAACTCAATAAAGTGTGAGGGTACTTTTCGTATGTATTTAAAAGTGTAAAAATATTTCTAGTTCGTGAACCAAAGCCGACAAGTAACGAAAAATTTATTTCTGTAGATGGGGAATCCCCATTAATGTATATAAAATTTTATAAATGTTGTGATATGCTATGCGATTGCACAGTAGCTATAGTTAAATAGCGTTCGAATCACATAAGTTTCCGGAATGTAAACTAAAAGAAAAATGAGATCCGACAAAAAGGTTTATTTTGCTAATGGTTAAATATCATACTGATAGGATCGGTATATTTTTACAATAAGCTAGACTTGAATTTTGTTATTAAAAATAGATTTCGAACGAAAATAAAGAATTCGAGCGCAGAATTTTTAATCGATCGCCGGAAACAGCCTTTGTATCGCTCTAATTCGCCTCGTCGTCGAACGTTTAGGCGTGTAAATTACACCGTTCACGAATTTCGTTGCCGCTGGATAATGCCACGACTGATTAATGCCCGGCATTCCTACGAAATTCTCTCGTTGGCCTCCATCTAATTTCCGAATAGCTCGGGCCAGACATTGTTTCAACGGAAAGGAAATCGATCCTCGAAAGTTGGGAAGTTTCCATTCATCTTAGGTCGTAATTAAACACGGAAATTAACCGCTCGCCGTTGCACGTAAAAATAGCCCGTTGAAAAATCGTGTCCTACGTTAGATTTAGTACCGTTTAAATCAATTCAATGCCAGTGTTTCGCTCGACTTTTAAAGGGGGGTTACACGACCACACAGAAATCGAAATAAAAATTTTTTTTTATTCGTTGAAGAATCATCAAAATTTTAACATTTCTATTTCTATTTATTATTCCCAGCAGTCTCTATTAAGCTTTTTGGTTAGTTCAATTAAACAAATATGAAACAGATGTTCAGAACTTCGA